AAACCTTCTGCATCTTTGGTAATATTTTTTGTTTAGTTCTTTCAATTACTAAGAAAGTGGTATGAAAAATATCTAATAATGATGATAGTTTTCTTTTTCCTTCTAGTTCTATGTCTTTGATTCATGTATTTGAAATTCTTTTATTAGGTTTGCGTATATTTAGGATTGTTATGTCTTTCTGCTGGTTTGATATTTTATCATTATGAAATGATGCTCTGTTAATAATTCTTTTTCTTGAAGTTTATTTTGATCATAAATAGAGCCACACCAACTTTAGTATGCCTCGTGTTTGAATGGTATATCCTTTTCCACTACAGTATTTTTCTTTTGCACATTTTTTACATGAAATGATTTTTTTATTTGTCTTTTTTTTTAATTGTGATTTAGGTGAAAGTTTACAGAGCAAATTAGTTTCTCATTAAACAGTTAATACACAAATTGTCTTGTGACATTGGTTGCCAACTCTACGATGTGGCAACACTCTCCCCTTCTCCACCCCAGGTTCCCTGTTTCCATTCGTCCAGTTTTCCTGTCCCTTCCTACCTTCTCGTCTTTGCTTTTGGGCTAGTTTGCCCATTAGTCTCTTATACTTGATTGAACTATGAAGTACGTCCCTCATGTGTGTTATTGTTGGCCCTGTAAGCCTATCTAATGCTCTGGCAGGGATCACAATAGAGGGTCCTGAACAGAGGGGGAGAACAATGTAGAACAAAATTCAAATTCACAGAAAAAAAGGGAGTAGGGCACAGGCTTGTAGGCCTGACAGAGACCAGAGAAACCCCGGGAGTATGGCCCCCGGACACTCTTTTAACTCAGTACTGAAGTCACTCCTGAGGTTCATCCTTCAGCCAAAGATTAGACATGAAATTAATTTTACTGAACTTTTAGGAAGAAGAGATGTGTCAGAATAGTTTTTCTAGCTTCACTGCTCTAGAGCTTCCTCTTTTGTTGCTTTTGCACCATGATTTAAAAAAAAAAAAGTCCTCTCCACTCTAGGACTTTCCCCCCTCCATTTTATCTGCATTTTCAATTTCCTTTGTCCTGAGTGTATCCTGCAAAATTTGCATTCTACTCCCAGCATTTTCTCTTAATGCAGAGCTTTGTACTAGAATAAAGTTTCTGTTAGTATTGAAAGTTCATATAGCCCAGACCGCTCCCAGCCCTCAGAACTTCCTATAGATTCTTTCTTCTCTCCTGTGAATCAGTCAGCTTCAGCTCACAAATGGCCCTCATACTTTGCAGGAATACTTGTTTTTGATTTGGAGGTTCCTGTTTTTAGGGGAGTTCTCCTGTTGTTTCTCTCTGTTTCGTCCTATACTGATGTGGTACCACAAGGTTTTTGTAGCTGTCAATGGTTTGTCCCAACCTGTTTGCATTTTGGGGTTTGTAGGGATATCGGATATGTAGTGTTTTTGTAGATGTTTTACCATGAGCTTTGTTTTTGATATCTTAGTTCTCTCTGGTTTTGTGTGGGGATTCAGGGAAGTTCCAAAGCAGTTCTGCTGCTTAGCCATCTTTTCAAAACTCTGTGGCTACTCTTGATTCCATTGTAGAGCAGTCTACTTGTACCATCTGATCTTTGTACCATAAGGAGTGCAATGCTGATCTTTTCCAGAAAGGGCTACGTCAAGTCGCTTCCTCAGAGAAACTTCTACAGAATTTAGGAATTCAGATCAAAGGGTTCTTGGTTGTTCAGTGACCTCTGGAGTTGTTGCTTATCGTGATTACTGCATTTTCTTAGTATTATACCTGCACTTCTTTTCACTACAGCCTCTTAGTGTGCCAGGGCCATTTTGAGAGAGAACAGCCTGTGTAGTGAGGAAAGTCCCAGATAAGACTTCTGCTCCCTTCAGCAATTCTCTATTGCTATATGGTGGAAGGACCCATCCGGTTTTGAATTTAGATAAAGCAGATAATTCAGAAGGGGTAGAACAAAACTCTACCGCCCACCACCCGAATGAGTGTCTTTTGTGCCATGTAAGTTTGAACAAGCCAGAGGCTGCCTATGCTGAACAGTATTCTATAACCAAAAATGAGCTTGATATTCAAGGTGCCTTAATAATGTCTAGAGATTATTGCCATATTATTTGCTTAGTTTTTTTTTTAAAGCCTTTATTCTTTATTCTGTGGAGTTGGGTGGCTGGAGAGCAGTTGAGACAGCGCTCATAATCCTCAGATCATTCTTCTACACCACTCTCAGGTGACACTTTTTCCTTCACCACAGCCACTCTCAAAGAAATATCTATGAGCATGAGGTTCTCTTCATGGAGACTCATGTTATTAGTCAGTTTCACATACTGACTTTAAATCAATTATTGGGTAATAATTTATCTCAGAGATTCATGAAGTTTTGCACAGTGAGCATGTTTGCTTCCTATAAAGTTAATACTTATATTTCTATGTTACTTTATAATTTGCAAGGTACTTTCCACTTGATCTTCATGACCACTTTGAAAAAAGCAGCATTTTCTCTACTTTACACATGAAGCAGCTAAAACTCAGAGGTTAAGTTACCTGCTCAAGGCTATGTGGATAATTTATGGCAGAGCCCAGAGAAAATTATTCAATAATGAGAATAATTATTATTAATATTGGAAGCCTCTATGCTTTCCCATAACTCAAAAATAGCTATGGAAAACATAATCACATGAGTGCCTATTAATAAATCAGCCGCAATTGAATTAGTTATAATTTAGAGAGAATTTTTAGGAAATATGTATCTACTCCTTTAATATACAATGTAAATATATGTAATGAAAAATAATGTGAACTATAAATTTATCTTATGTTGAAAAATTTAACACTTTGGAAATTCATGTTTTTTTCCCACTAGACTTCAAAACAATTGTTTACAATGATCTGTGTTTTACAGATGAAAACTAAGACGCAGTGATGTTAAATGGTTTGCCTATATAGCTAGTTACAGAATCAGGATCCAATTTCTTCCCATATCTTCTCATTCTAAATTCTATATTCTTTCCTTTATACCACGCTGCTTCATGATTGAACTTTTAAAATGTTGTCGGATGACTGAATAGATGAACCAGCTATATAATTTAGATATGTCTGCACCAAACAGACTGGCTTGGTCTGTAATAACCAGTTTTATGAAGCATAAATACAAGAAAAATGATGAAAAAGAATCAATGAATAGTCAAAGGATTTGAGACCTGATTTCAGCCTAGTAGGTCATAAATACCCGTTAGGCAGATAAGGAGAATGGCCAGTCTTCCCAGGAGGGAAATATGTGTATACTTTATCAGTTTTAATAAAATATGACCCATATATGTCCTAGATGATGTACGCTCTCTGACATGTACTCTGCTGGCAGTCCTCACACCATCAGCACATTCTGCGGATGCATTCTAATGTCACTACCATAGCTCATGGTAATATTCTCACATATCATGTCTGCTTCCCAGGCTGGCTCTTTCTCAGGATTAATTGACTGTGTTGCATCATTTTCTTAGTAGGGTGATAGGCAGAAATATCTATGTCCTGAAATCCACACATTTGATCAAATCAGTGTTGTCATTTTTCCCCAGAACCTACAAACCAGTGTCCTTGGGAATCATGCTGCTCAGAGACCACCACAGCCAAGTTTAGAAACAGAGCACACTGGCCGCGCGGTGGTAACACACAGTCAGGGGTGGCTGTGGATTTTCTTTGTTGTGTGTGATGCTGATTCCCCTGTATATTCTGAGCAAATTCACCTTACAGACTTTATTTTTATAACATTCAGTTCGATGAGATTTTTTTTTTTTTTGTATTAGGGATTTGAAATCAGCTATGTGACCAATCAGCTATGTGTACATGTGTGTGTGTACATATTTTTAATCAAACAGCACAACGTGGAACAATCAAGTTGGCTTGGAAATTTTTACTTCAGAGTCAGTCCGACTTTAGCTTTATGTAGCAGAAGTAGTGTTGGCCCTAGACCAAACGGGGGGATGGACAGCCAAGGGTTATTTGAATGACGCACCTTTTTGCAGCATCTCTGGCCACACTCTGACCAGCTGCCCAGGTTCTCTCACTATGGTGTCATCAGCTTTATTGGCCTGGGTCCTTTCCAAGGCATTGTCCATGGAGCCAGAAGACTTGTTAAGTCATAATGTACCATGTATCAGTTGTGTGTTCTTTGTCAAGCCCCCTTTTGAACCTCTTCTGAGTTGTATGTGGCTGTACCATGAAGGAGGCTCTGTCTCCGCAGTGTCACCTTCTCACATCAGACTGGCACTGACCAGTCTACTGTCCCTATGTTGACTGCCATACTGGTGTCCACTCAATGATATGACCATGATATCTAATGAGAAATTTTGTCCACACCTCCTGAGACTCTTGCTTTTTATTTCCTTCAGCAGTGTAGGAAGCCAAATTGTATATAAGCAATATAATATAATGTGAATATGGAATATGTAACAATTTTTGTGCAAATGACTGATATTTCATTTGTTCCAAGTTTAGAAAGGAAGTATAAGCCCACCACTTCCAGTATTTCCCAATTGACTATAGGTTCATTTCTGAAATATGTCAGAAAATTTATACTTAGTTTTGGAAATGAAATTGGACAAAGGGTGGTTATCAGCCCCTGGGTGGTGCAAACAGTTAATGCACTCAGCTGCTAACAGAAAGGTTGTAGGTTCAAGTCCACCCAGAGGTGCCTTGGAAGAAAGACCTGGTAATCTATATCTGAAAAATCAGCTCTTGAAAACACAGTTCTATCCTGACACACGTGGGGTCACCATGAGTCAAAATCAACTGATTTTTTTTTTCTGGTTTACTGATGAGTAAATGGAGGATTTGTTTCATCTACTACTGTCTGTATCTAAAATTCTAACATCAAACTGTAAGAGAACTACCATTGGTGCCTGAAGAGCTTGAGTCCTCTTGGTAATAAAAACTATGCATGAATGAAATCAGCATTTGGATAGAGAGAGAATATCCCGTATTGGAAAGTAATCATAGCTTTTATGCTCTTGTGTGTGTGTGTGCTTTGACAGCTTTTTGGAGACTACAGCCTATTTCTTCATGAAACCAAAAATCGGAGAGAAGGAGGTGTCCCCAAATGTTTTCTTCAGTATCTGGCATGAATTCAGCTCTGACTTTAAAGACTTTTGGAAGAAAGAGAACAAACTTATTCTACAAGAGAGGTAAGTATTTTCCTTTGCACATTAGCATTTTAAGACGTGTGTTTTATTAGGTGTGACGCCACTAGGGTTGCCAGCTTTTAGAGCCTGAGTGAAAAATTAGATGGTCCTCACCTGAGGTAGCAAGCCTAAGAGGGTACTGAGATTTGGTGAAATTTGGAGTTCTAGTAGGAAGAGTTGGCACAGAGGCTGGGATGCTACAGAAGGTAGCTGGGGTGTGGCTTGCCAGGACCACTGTCTGGTAAAACAACTTTTCATGGTGAGGAAACCATGTAAAGAAGACCAAGTAAGAATATTTGGAAAATCCTACTGGGGTGATAAACACACTCATCTCAAAAGACCTATAGCAAAGACTGTAAAGGTATGATGAACTTAACTGTGTTTTTGCTAATCGTGTGGTATTGTCAAAAGTTTACCGTTCATATCATTAAAATTTTATCATTCATTTTACCCCAGATATCACCAAAACACAAAGATGATCAGTTTTTTTAAAAAAAAAAGATATTTCAAGATTCTTGTAGAATTACATCACATTTCCCAAAGTAAATCTTTTCAGGAATGAAGGAACATTTCCCCTTGTAAGTATATGAAATAGTCTCTTTCACTGCAATTATGAAATCCCACAGAGGCATATTAAATATTAAGTCGTAAAGAAAGCTAGCCCTCCCAGGGCAGCGTCTTCCAATAGCTGGGTCTAGTGGGAGGATAAAAGGGAAACATAATCTACGCTACAAACCAACCCCTAATACCCAGCCGGTTAGTGTACTCTTTACCATCCCTACCCTAACTAACGACGACTCTGCTTTAGATCTTCTGAAAACCTACATCCTGAGGGACTTGCTTCATTACTACCACAAAATTCCACAGTTTTCTGCTTATTTTTTCATTTTTTGTCCTGCTTACATATGAAACCATGATCGTCCACCTAGTTTTCATTTTTAAGTAGATAATTGGTACTCCTTAAACCAAAAAACCAAACCCGTTGCCATCGAGTCAATTCCGACTCATAGCCACCTTGTAGGACAGAGTAGAACTGCCCCATAGAGTTTCCAAGGAGTGCCTGGTAGATTCAAACTGCTGACCTTTTGGTCAGCATAGCACTTAACCACTACGCCACCAGGGTTTCCACTGGTACTCCTTAAGTCAAGTGAAATTAATTGCTAACATTGGGCAATTAGACTATCCCAGACATGTGCTAACTCACATAATGAATTGCCTAGATTTCATAGCTCTGTCAGAGAAGAAGAGACCTGGTGGTGCAATGATTCAGAACTCGGCTGCTAACCAAAAGGTCGGCAGTCCGAATCCATCGGCTGCTCCTGGGAAACCCTATGGGGCTGTTCTACTCTGTCCTGCAGGGTCGCTATGAGTTGAAATCAAGTCGATGGCAACACGTTTGGTTTTGGATCAGAGAAGAAACCTGTGACTCAGCGAATAGTAAATGAAAAAGGAGACCACTTTGAACAGAAGGAAAACACTTGAAACATCCATTCCAAAATTAACACGCTTATTCTGCCTCCAAATGCATCAGTAGAGGTTTACGTAAAAGATGAGATTTTAGTCAAAAGTCCATGCAGGTGAGGTAAGAGAGACAGTTGCTTAAAAATATGCATATGTGAATCATTGTTCATTTCCTGCAGACATAGCCACATATCAAGTGGTTTCTACCCAGCAAGGCTTACTCAGTTTGGAAAATTGTGTAGAGCGAAAATGTTTCACCCAGCATATCGCATGTCATTTCCCTTTATGGGTCCTCACTGGTTCCCCACGTGCCTCCTGTCAGCTCCAATCAAGACTTGTTCCCCGGGGAAAGAGCTGGAAACTCATTCACCCAAAAGTGCAAAACTGAATGATTGTTTCACCTTGCAAGATTATTTATGTCCTATCTGGGTTCCGAACCCTAATGAGAGCAGGAATGGTGAGATTTAGACATCGACAGAACAGGATTGATGAAGCTGTGGCATGGGAGTAGCTGCTCTGATGGCCTGTTGGGTGACTGGACAGCAGCATCAGGCTGGCCGTGTCCTGTGGCCGTGTAGCCTGAGGAGGTGCTGGGACAAGGATGCAGGTGAACACACTCTCTGTGGCTCTCCTTTATGCTCTGCACCCCTACATAAGTGCTTAGATGCCTGTCTTGGAGAAAATGTTGAAACTGACTAGTTCAGATGCAGAGTTCCCCAGGTATACTCATAGTGGCCATTCAGCAGGTATTCCATGACATAGGATTGTGTTTCTCAGTCCCATTATCAGTAATAATCCACTTTTCTGTGATATTTTATGCATTTGACACACCCAGAATTAGCTTGTCTTCATTCTCTGTGTTATAAAATCAGCCAGATTCTTTCTTTTTCACTTTATCCTGTGCTTGTCATGTTCTAGAAGTTCATAGAAGTATGCTATGGGCTTTTTAACTTACACTTGATGACTTCCCTTTGGTTTGGCAGTGTTTTGAATTGGCAGATCACAGTGTACTTCTCGGCAGCCTTCCCCTTTTTCTAAATCGTTTGCTTTAATAAAGGACTAAGGAGGAATACATGACAGTTGAGAGAGGACTGCTTTGCCCTTTGACGTCCAAAGTATATTAGGTCTCAAGACTCTTGATCTGAATTGCGTGTATTGGCAACTCTGTCCCTTTCCTTAGTGCGGGACCAGCTACATAATATGTGGATCCTGAGCGAAGCAGAACCATGGGGCTCCTTGTCCAAAGATTATTAAGAATATCAAGACAGCAACAGCAAAGCATTAACCAAGCGCTGGGCCCTTCTGAGAGCAAAGTAGTGCGTGTCTGCACAGGTGCACCACCATGAAGCCTTCCTGCCTTGGAGTAAGCTTTATATTCAACTTTCAGTGGAAGAGTATTTCAGGAACGCTCTGAGCTCACGGGCCATCCATAGGGAGATGAGTTAAGGGTGTTGTATCAACTTCTTAAGGCAGCTGTAAGAAAGTACCACAAACGAGGTGGCTTAAAACAACAGAAGTGCATTCTGTCTCAGTTCTGGAGGCTAGAAGTCCAAAATTAAAGTGCTGGCAGAGCCTTGCTTCCTCCGAAGCCTCTAGGCTTCCTTGCTTCTTCCAGCTTCTGCTAGCCCCAAGCATTCCTTGCTTATGGCAGCATAATTCCAGTCTCTGCCCTCCACCTTCACGTGGGGTTCTTTCTTCTGTGTCTATGTCTCTCTCTGTCTCCTCCTCCGCTTATAGGGACACCACTCATATTGGATTCAGGGCCCCCCATACTCCAGTATGACCTCATCTTAACCTGATTACATCTGCAAAGACCCTATTTCCAAATAAAATCCCATTCATAGGTACCAGGGATTAGGACTTCAACATATAATGGAGACACAGTTCAACCCACAACAGATATTAAACCTTTGATACAATCTACATGAATTTGAGTAGAACCTTAAGTAGAATTACAAATTCTTCAAATGGGATGTGTTCCTCCAGCTGACTGTTTTCTCCTCTGTACTCCTGTAGTATTTATTATCTGTGTATTTTGTTTAATAATTCATCCTAGACTGCCTGTGTTTTTGTTTTATACTGTAACTTTTTGCATGTTTGTATGTTTTTATTTCCCAGTAAGACTTAGTGTTATCATTTCTGGTATAGCTCTCAATTATCACTAAGCTGCGGTACTTTTACCCTCTTAGTCTCTCAAATATTTGCAGATTTGATTTGGTACATCAACGTGTTTGACATGTACAGGGAAATAAGAACTTAGTCTAGTAAAGAACATGTTTTCTTACATAATTTAACTTTATCATTGTAGGTAATAAAAACCCAACTTCAAATACCTTAAGAAAAAGACTTTATTTGTTCAGGTAGTCAAACCACTGAAAGCAAAGGATGGAACTTCCCTGAGGTATACCTGAGTTCTGAAATTCCAACTGCAGTCGGTGGGAATTAGCCAGGTGTGTCTATGTCTCTGGAGCCCTGGTGGTGCACTGGTTAAGCATTTAACCAAAAGTTAGGCAATTCGAATCCACCAGCCATTCTTGGAAACCCTATAGGGCAGTTCTACTCTGTCGTGTAAGTTGCTATGAGTTGGAATCGACTTGATGGCAACAGGTTTGGTTTTTTGGTTTGGTCTGTCTTTTAAAATGTTCTCTGAGTCCCTCTCTCCTCCTCCATCTTCTTCCTCCTCTTCACTCTCCCTCCCCTCACTCCTCTCCGTCCTCTGTAGATTAGCTTCATTTCCAAGCCAGGTTGTTCCTTCAGGATAGACACACGGCCACCAGCCACAGGCATGTCTTACATTCTCACAACCCAGGAGGAGAGATTACTCCACTGCACTTAGAAGAATCCCAGGGAAGAACTCCAAATGAGTCATGTCCATCTTTGGATCAGCCACAGGGACCAGAGGCATGGGGTACCGTGGTTAGCTCAGAAGTTCACAAAGCTAATCCTGCGGCCAGAGGAGGGTAACTGTGATTGACAGTCCCCTTCATAGCAATCTCATTGGGTTGAGGACAGAGCAGTTTCTCAAAGAAATATAATCTACTACCCAAATTTATTAAACTTTAAAAATAACCCTTGTAGTTATCAGAATGTCTTAGCATGGTTGAAATATCCTGAAAGATGATATTGATGGTATGGTGCAAATTTTCTTTTCTGATGAAGTTTCTCTTGCTCTAATTTAGTATTTTATAGATAAAGTAATGTTTTTAAGGTTTTAAATCCTATATAAATTTTCCTTATCACATTATTTCCAATTGATATCTGATTATAGAAGTGGTACTAACTCTGTATTTTCTGGCTTTATCCTAGTGTCCCATACAATGTAGTAGCTATAAATCTTGTTATTTCAGTACTTCCATGCTGAATAAATCTGCTGTCTTTCTAATCAATGTGATTTGGAAAACTCGAGAACTTTTTAGTTAGCTCTGCCACTTTTCTATAATCATAGAAAGCAGTTTATTATCAAGAGCCATAGTTTTATGATAATACCTGTTGTGCAGTGTTATTGCGTAGATTAAACGAGGTAATATATATGAAGTGTATAG